TTTATATATCATTAAATGAATAAATATATACAATATTATGAATTTTAAATAAGTAAAATAAGTTAATTATTAAATAGTATGTAAAATTTTATAAAAAATTATTTTTAAATCATCATCTTTTATCTTTAAGAAAAAACTGGAGGAAGTGGTTTCTGTATGAATTACTATTACTTAATTTAGATGTAAATAGGATGCGGTTATAATCGTCCATTTAACAAAAACGTTACACAATTTTATTTTAATTAATTATTAAAAATAGTTAATAATTAATAAAATAATTAATATCTATTATTTAATAAATTTAAATTAATTTAAAAATTAATAATTTAAAATATTATAATAACCATTTAAAAAATTATAAATAAATAAAACATCAGTTAAATTAAATGATTGATTGGCTGAGTGATCAATTTTTTAATAATTGAGTATAACTACACTCACGTGAATTACCTTATTTTCTATTTTTGAAAAGACATTAAATTCTTTTATTTCAAAATATTACTTGTATTACTCTAACATATTGATGAAGAAAACAAAAAGCGTTTACTAAGGTTAAAGATAGTATTTCAATTCTTAATAATTGCATTTTTATTTTTCTCAAAATTACCTCTTTTATCGTACAACCCTAGAGTGAAAGAACTAGAAAATGAAGTAAATGTTTGTTAGGCCTTTTTTTTTTTTTTTTAAATTTTTAACGGCGTACAATTTGGAGAGAGGAGATTCAAAACCTAACTTTAATATTAAAGATGTACTTTATAATAAAATATGTAATTATCGAGAAATAAAATTTAAGTTCAGTTTAAACTATTTAAACAATTATTAATAATACAATTTCATCGGTGAAAAAATTTATCCTCCTCTTGCCCTTTTTTTAAACCAATCATATCCTATGTTTAGGAGAATGATATTTTTTTTACTATAAAAAAATAATTAATAAATTAATATTTGTTTGAATACCGATTGAAAAGTCGACTTAATAATTATATACTGCATTTCACCTTACTTCTTATACGAAAAAAACATAACCACTTAGGCTACACAAGGGAATGCTATGTTTAGGAGAATGATTGTTTGGTTGGTTTCACCATCCATAGAATAAAAGTGCAATGGGGGCAAAAACCCACGGATTGTCTTTCAATATTTTGAGTGTGTGAAAGTTTATCTTTCACTTTATAATATATGTTTTTATATTTTCATAATATTTGACTTTATAATTTTATATTTTCATGATATTTGAGTTTATAATGTTATACTTTTTTAAAGTTGTAAGATAAAATATAAAATTTTACATATTTATATACTAAAAAAATATAAAATCTTATCAAAAAAATATATAAAACCACATATTATAAAAATGAAAAGTAAAATTACACACACTCAACAAATTAAAAGGCAATATATGAGATTTTACCGTGAAATGGGAGGTACAACCTACACTGCCCTCAAGCATTTATTAGCCCAAATTTTTTTTTTATTTTTAATTTTTTAAATAAGAAAACTTTAGCCAAAAGGCTGATGCAGGCATAATAGTGTTTCTCTAGACTCCAGTAAATAAAGAGAGAGAAAACTGGGGAAAGGAGTACCGTTTGCTTGTTGGAGTCACCCTGGAATGATAATGACTAGCTAGGGTTTTTAAATGAAGGGGAAAAGAGTAAAAGGTAGAAAGGAAAGGCCCCATACAACTGTCCATGCCTCGGTCGGTATCTTTCTCTAATTTCTTTTATTTGTCTATTTATCATGAATGCTTCTAGAATCTAGATTTCCCTCCTACCTCCAAACTAAGCTAAACAATTTATATTTTTTAAGTTTATATGGCAACGTGGTTTTTTTTTTTTTTTTTCTTGCTAACCCCTGGTATTAGGAAGTTAAGTTAGATTTTAACTAAATTGAATCGAATCATATTAAATCTTATAAAGAAATTTTTTTTTTATATTTATTTTTTTATTTATAAAATTTAACTTCAAGATTTTATTTAAATATAATTAAATTTATTCTATTCAAACTAACAAATCGTTAGTATATGATTACGTAGTTATAACAACATATATTATTTTTATGGTTATATAGTTTTAATAAATATTCTCTTAATTTAATTATTTAAAAAGTTAATAATGGATAAATAATTAATATTTATTACTTAATTTATTAAAATTAATTTATAAGTAAAATTTTAAGATATTATAACTAGTTTCTTTTTTTTAAACATTGAGGATGAAACTTGAATCTCATATTTGTCAAATTTAACCTGAGAAGTTTTTTACAAGGGAAATATGGTTATTAAGCCAGGAAGACGTTCTCAAATATTATAAGTAGTTGTTTAATAAAAATTGGTAAAAGTTAATAAAATATCAGTCAAATTATATGATCCTAACAATAATATATGTAAACTTATCCACAACCATACTAGTATGGTTCATTTTTTAATAAATGATTTAATGATTAAGAATTTAAAATTTTATATTAGAGGTATTAAACTTAAATTTTAAGATGTGTGGAAAGAGATTTGAAAAGTAAAGAAATATTTATTATCATGTAACTCATTATTTGATATACAAGAAAAATTATTAGTACTACTCATTAATTTTCTTTAATAATAATAAAAAAATAAAAAATATGTTATAGTGCAAATTATAAAACGTTGGCCTTTAGAGAGGAGAGAACCTCCTGTTATTGTTATTGAGACCTTCTCCTACTAAGGTTCTTATTTTATAATTTAAAATAATTTAAATTAAAAAATAGTGCACCCATATAAACACCTAGATAACCCACTGCATTTTTTGATATTCATTGCATAGTTTTATATACATTTGCATTATAAAAAAAATATTATACGCATTATATTTGCCTCTAAAGAATTATTTTTTTATTAAATACTTTTAATACCAACTTTTTTATCTTCTAAAAAAACATTTAATGATAAAAAATTTAAATTTTCGATATTATAGATTTTAAGCTTATATTTTAAAATAAATAAATAAATAATTATTTTTTATTATATAACTCATCGGTTTAACTAACATAGTGATTACATGGCACCTTGCACCCTTTTGCAACCATATTGGTTACAAGTCAAAACTAAAATCAAGCCAATTGAACTAGTTTTGAATTTTTACTATCCAATTGAATCTATGCTCGACGGCGAAGAAAAAATTCAATCTACAGTCGGATTTGATCCAATTTTAATTAATTTCTATTAAAGAAAATAATTAAGTGAAATTTTTATTGTACTCTCTCGTCTTTTTTTCCTAGAATAATATTTTTTTATCTTATTTGTGAATTAAAGATTTAAAAATAATTTTTATTTTTATCTATTTTACTTTTAAAAAATTAAAATAAAAAACTTTATTTTATTTTTTTTTTTATTTATGAACTTTTGATATAATGCATGAGTAAGTACCATTGTACTTTTTTTAATAATAACACTTGGATTCATAAAAAAAAAAAAAACTTTATGATTAAATATTAATTTAATCCCTAATATTTACTATAAATATAAGATATTGTTCTCACCTTTCATTTAAACCAAAATTAGTGCCTAACTTTTTCTAAATCACTAAACTTAATCCAATTGTTTTTTTTTTTTTATCTTAATTGCACAATAGAAGGTAACCATCTCTTATTTCTTATCTCACTCCATCCGTATACTATGCGATTTAAATTCAAAACTCTTACTTCCAGCAGAAGAAAATGATTACTAAACTATTTAAACGTTAGCTAAACTTAATCCAATTGTTTTTTTGTTTTTATCTTAATTGCATAATAGAAAGTAACTATCTCTTATTCCTTATCTCACTCCGTCCGTATGCCATATGACTCGAATTCAAGATCTCTTACTTTCAACGAAAGAAGATGACAACTAAACTATTTAATCGTTAGCTAAACTTAATCCAATTGTTAGTCACTTGCAATATAAATCCCTAACGAAATTGTAGCTAGAATTTTATAAACCCATTTAAACCATTCTTTTTCCAGGGCTTAACTATGCTGAACCCTTGTCTTTTATTTTTTATTTTTTATTTTTTGGCCAACTCCAAATCTCAAGTTCTAACCTTTATCGTTTCTATGACTAATTCACGAACCATGGGTTGCGTTAATTAAAAGAAAAAATGAAACAGGGATTTGAAGTTGGCTTAAAGAAATTTTTTTTTTTTTAAATCTCAGTGATTGGAAGTTTGGCGGGGTGTTTTCTATTTTAAAGGTTCCCTAGGTCTCATAAAATTCTAATTGGGAGTTTTATTTGGGACTTAATAAAAGTGACAATCAGTAAAATTAGACTCAATAATTTTATAAAAGGACAGGGATAATTTTTTGTTCAAATAAAAGGTTAAGATAATATCTGAATATTTATACTAAAAATTAGAAACTAAATTTGATATCTACTCAAACATTTTCATAATAAGATGAATAATTAAAGTTAAGAAATAATTCTAAAATTTAAATAGATAAAAAACAATTTATCTCCTTAAAAAAAAAAAAAACAACTGCTAACATTCAGAGACAAATTTTAAATTAAAAACCATCCATTAAGTCAAGGAGTTGCACAACATAAACTATGAAATCAAGTAAATTCCTAAATATAGGAGTATACCATATGATATACCTTCTAATTAGATGATCTATGTTTTGTAATTTAGATGGTTAAAAAGAAGTGGGCTACCTACTGAGTTCGTCGAAAATACAGCGAGTCTGCGACCTTGGGAACGTGCTCCCGAGTACAATCATCAGACCATTGAGATCAACAATCCACATAGAGACATCAGAGAGCTAAACAAGCTTACATTCCACTGGTGTGAAGATGTTCCCCCGAAGGACAGGTAATATACACAAAAAAAAAAAAAGAGAGCAGTCCTCAAATTTACATGCTCGTTGGTTTCCTCCAAAAACAAAAAAGCCAACTCAAACAAGGACATCAGCTGCAGCTATCTCGACTATAATAGAATTTAAGGTAAGGGAATGAGAAGACAACAAGTCCGAAAACCACAATGGTTTTTTGTATGAAACTATCTGGTCAATAAGCTCCGCTACTATCATTTTGGATTTGATCTCGTGAGCCCTAAGATGAGTTTGATGACCTACCAGAAGACGATTCACCCAAGGAGACGGAAGCCAGAGAAGCCCAAACGCGGGCATTTTTTGCACGTTGATGGAAATTCCTGGTCTTGCATATCCGCAGCTTGGTCCAAATCCTCCTCACATCAATCATGTGAAGGGCACGCCCGAACAACTGACTTGTCTCACCGAATATTTCCAAGTTCAGATGGGGAACATATGATAACCAGAAGGCTTTGAGACGAGATAATAGTTTGGGGAATATGGATAGGAGCACTCTTAGGCAAAGAAATAACACAGCAAATGCTAAGTAGGGCTCCCTTTTCACCATCTCATTTACTGACGACCCATTCCATGACTGCATGACATACATATGACCATCCCCAAATCTGAGATGTTCCTCTTCAGTAACATATTGAACTGGTTCAAGTCCTGAAATACAATATCTTAGGGAAATGAGAACATCTCAGGACCACATGTCATATCCCCTGGGCATAGAAATAACTTACTGGTAGTTTTCTGATAAAATTGCACAATGGAGAGAAGATCTTTTGGACCATGATATCTGACCCTTGACGTCTGATTAATGATTATGATCGATGGCAAGCTATGGATTCCATACCTTGAAAATATACTGCAATACAATACAGAACATGAGTACATGAGTATCTAGCAGGCATTATTGCTTAAGAATATTGTCCTTGAAATCAGTAACATACTATACTACAATTATTTATCGTTTACTATAATGGGAATTCACCATAAAGAAAAAAGCAGAGGAAGTACAACTACAATGTACTTTGACAAATGAGTGCCCGTGTCCATCATGCAGGCATATCACATTTTGTAGCAGGGCAAGGAGTTTCTACCCATTCAGGATTGCTTTTAAAAAGAAGGGAGAAAAAAGGAAAGCAAATTAAAAGAAATTTATAAAGTATATTTCTTAAGAATGAATCAAGGTGAATATCAGTCTCTGTTTGGCAGAACATAATCATGAAAAGTTCATCTTGATGTGTAGATACCATGCAAACAAAACAAATTTATTGCATGCTGAAGGTAACGGCACTAAGTCTGTAAGTCATGGCAAACATATAGGATATAATAAATATATCCTTGCTTAGTCTTATATCCACACATATGATAAAAGCAAGAAATGAAATTCAAAAAATCATTTAGAGATGATTGTGAAATACCAGGTCACACAAGTAGCTACCAACCTTGGTAGGGCATTTGATTGTTCAACTGCAAAATGCTCTATTTGAGGAAACATCGAACTGAGGATGTCAAATTTAGGACGCAAACCATGTGAAAATGGGCACCCGGAAGCATAAAAGAGCACAGAAATGTAGGTCTTTGTCTGTTTGGAAATCAATGCCCTGTCAAGGAAGTTTCCGTCCACCTGCAAATTAAAAAAAAAAAAGGAAAAAAAAAGAAACATCAATAAACCCAAGAAAAATATTCAGCTACTAAGTACCAACTAGTTATGTAAAATATCAAACCTCTGAAACAGAATGTAAAACTCAATAAGTACAAATCTCTAGGAAAGAAAGTATACACAGGTAACCTAAAGTGAATGTGATATAGTGGAAAACTGGACATTGCAGAAATATAGATCATCAGCCCATCAATCATACTTGAAATGAAGGTTTGTAGTCAAGATTGGCCTCAGAGAAGTTACATAATGGTGTCATTTAAAGAAATTGTACACTGCAATGTACATTAAAATTCTTAAAAGGAAAAGAAAAAAAAGGGGACGAATACTGAACTGGCAAACTTCAGTATAACAAATTATAGTACTTCCTAATACCACATGCAGAAGTCATCTATTGTGAAAAAGAATAAAAATAGCTGATTTACTCACACTATAAAAAAAGAGGCTCTAAATTCAATTATCTGACTACTGCATATGAAAAGTAGACACGTAGTTAACCAACAAATATTAAAGTTTCTTTGATAGCTTGGGCATTCGAACCTTTGGCCTGACCAAATATCAAATAGACTGATGTTAATCAGTTGGAGTAAAAAGGAATGTTGATTATGCAACTACCTCCTTAATCTACTTGATTTTAGCTATGGTAACAGATAAATAAAGATGGGCAGAGTATAATATATACATTAAAAATACCCCTACCCACTTATTTTAGTGAAGCAACTGTACAATTAGTCATTATTGAGAGGGGTGGCACATGTGAATTAGCCTAAGCCACGTCAAAGATAAAAATTTCCCATATTTGCCACAGCATATGGTAATCAAGCAAACTTCCTAAACTGAAAAAGAAGTAGCAGTTTTCTGCAAAACATTGTAAAACTTGGGAATCTGTTCCAGACTTGTTCCTCATTATGGGTCAGAGAACAAATATAGAAACTTTCATTGCACATGTATGCTTTTTTTAAGGGCCTATTGCACATATATGCTAAACAATATTAAAGAAAAAAGAACAAAAGCATGCTAAAAATACATGTATTGTTGAAAGAAAAGCTAAGTAGAAGATTATTGACCCTAAAACTCTGAAACTATTAAATGAATATGCTTTAACAATATTGAACAAAAGAGCAAATCATTAAAATCTCCACAACGTTTTTCACTCATATATCCTCAATAAATGGTTATCCAAAAGTTCTTTTTCATGGAACACTACACGCTTCCTAAATGTCTAACCATAACTTCTCAATGCAACAAGAAGAGTAATTTATGTATGCTATTAGATTTTGGGGAACCAATGCAGATAAAGAAAGGGTATTAGATTTTTTGTGAACCCACCACCTCCCACCTACAGCAAAGAAAAGAATACTTTGTATATCAAGAAACATGATATGTAGCTATTGCAGCACAAACATCAAATATCAAAAGCTGCCATGATATGAATGTATAATAGCAATATCATTAGCATCTTGCTACCGAAGAAATAATAAGGATTAAGCTTTAGTGACAGATCAAGATTACAATTTCCATTAAAATCTTTGGAGAAAACATTTGCCAGATTCAGCAGAAGTGCATGATATGAACGTCCATGCAGAATAGAACATAGACCAAAGCCTTGTCTTGAATACCTTACAGCTCAACATTGCAGGTCATCTTCACTTTGAACTTAATGCAGCAGAACCCTTGTTAGCTAACCCTTGATGCAGAACTACCTCAAATAATGGCCCCGAGAAGTTTGTTCATAAGAACATCAAAGGACTTTAAGTAATAACTATTAACCAAGATTATGTAGATAAATAATAACCTCGCATACTTGGTGTTTTCACCTCATACAATAATTATGTCTCCTTTCAAAATTCCGGTAGAAACAATATACAGAGTCATCAGCGTTGATAGCCAACACCTAGAAGAATCCAATACTCGAACATTCAAAACTTAACCATAAAACGTTTTTCCAATTCTCCATTTTCGCAAACCACAAATTCCACAATCAAAGAATAGAATTACCAACTGCCATAAATGAACTAAAATCAGAAACAACCAGGGCTCAGGAACCAACCATAATCAAGCAAATGGATCATGTAAATCCCTACAATAGACAAATCCCAGCAAAAATAAAGAACCAATTGTTCCAGAAGTAATAACAAATGAACCCCAACAACCATTATTCAAAAAAAATAAAATCAATCAAACAAATCATGATAAATTGGAAAGAATAACAAACGACAAAGAGGGCTAAAACGTACCTCAAGAGGGGGATACGGCGCGATCGAAGGATAGCTCTGATTTCGAAGATTACAGAGGAACATGTCGGATTCATGAGGGCACATAAAGGACGACGACCAAACGCACCTCATCAAAGAGAAGACAGTAACATAGAAGAACAGAGGAGACGACATCGAGAAAGAAGCCATTAGGTTTCGACTAATTGATCGATCGATTTAAAGAAACAAAAAAAAAAAAATTCTGAAATTCACAACAGCTAGAACAAAGGAAAAACTGGGTATCAAACAAAATAAAAAATTTCAAAGAAAAACATACAAATAGATGAAAAAGAAAATGGATTTCCGTTTGGGTATTGGGATTGTTTCCGTGTTTCTGGGGAGGAAAGCGAGGTAGGTATTTGATTTTGAATGATTATGGGTACAGGAGGTGTTGGGATGATGGCTGATGGGTCTAATTGCAATTGGGTCTCTGAATCTCTCTCCCTCTTTCTGGCTGGATATTATTTTTTTATATCTACCCTGTTTCTTTCTCTTCCTTTTTAATTTTCTCGAGTGCCAAATGGTCCACACTCCAAAATTCCTTGCTTTGATTTTTTTCCTTAAAAAATCTGACAGCTCGAATTTACGATGTTTTATTTATGCAAAAAAATAAAAATTATGTACTCTCAAGTCTCAACAAACAAAATAAGAGTAAACAAATACGCAAATAGAAAGAATTTTCCTTTTAACTATTTTAAAAATTAAAGAAGGAAGAATTTTCTACATAAAAGTGTCTTACACGTGGAAAATGAAATTATATTATCCTTTATAGAGATGACATTTAAAATTTACAAAAAAAAAAAAGAAAAAGAAAAAACCTTTCATTTATTTCTTTTTCTTTTGTTAAGCTTTTCTCTCTTTATTTTTTTTTTTTGTCTGTTTGGTGAAAAATCATCAATAGACAGACCTAATTGTTGGGAGCCAACTAGAAGGATACATAACAGGGAATTTAAAAGATATTTCTATTAATTTTAAGAGCTTTTATATGTATTTAATTCTTTTATTTTTTTTTTTTCAATGTGAGATTTTTCACTTAACTCTATCTCTTTACTTTATATGCGAACTTTTTTACTCTAACATCATCAACTCAATATATAACGCATGAGATGAGGCGTGAGATGAGTTTGATTAGTAAATATATAGAAAAGTCAAAGGAATTGCATTTTGAGTGTTGTAAATAGGATTCCAAAATCTTTGTAAAAAAACAATAGATTTTTTTTTTTTTTGGTATAGAAAGATTAGAATTAAACTTTACAGTTATGACTAAGAGTATATGGTAGTTTTACCACCAAACCAGATAGTTAATGTTAGATTATGGATTGTTTTACCAAAAGAAGAAAACTCCTCATTTGTTTTCCTTTTCTTTTGTTAGGCTTTTGTTCTGTTGTTGTTTGGTGAAAAAGAACATCAATAGACAGACCTGATTAGGTTTTAAATCTATATAATTTGATTCAATTTGTGATGATGTAGAAAGCTAACTACTCAGGTATTTTTTTTTTTTGGTCAAAGCTAACCACCCTAAGTTAGAGTGGTTCAAATGCAAAGATAAATACACATTGTTTTATCTTTTTAAGCTACCATACCTATTAAACAAAATTGCGGCTACCAAATATGACGTCCACGTCCACGCTAAATTATGAAACTACAAACGACAAACTTCATTCCCTACAAATCCATTCCAAGTTTGAATTTGTTGATTATATATAAGCAAAGATTCTTCATTAGAGTTGTTTAAGTTTTTTAACTTTAACCTATTACCTAGAAAGAGAAATTCGAGTTTCATATCCATCTATATGAAATCTTTATAAATTTTTACTATCCTTTGTTCATACCTTTCACAAAATTTAGATATTTATTTTGTATACTGGGCTTATTTCTAGTAAAAACAAAATTTATACTGTAGTATAACTTCTCATTTTTCTTTTTGAGATAACGTGACTAACTTCACATGAAAATAGTTTTTACATCATAGTGATAAAACAACTTTGAGAAGATTAGCAGGATTTTTTTAGACACATACTCTATTTGTTGAACAATAATAGTCTTAATTTAATTTTAAAGACAAATAATTTGTAAAATTAGAAAATGATAGAAGCATAAAATTTTGTGTAAAATGATTTGTACAATATAATGTGATATTTAATTATATTTTTAATTTAAAATTCACACACAAATTAATATGTATTTGCATTTGACCTTTCGGGTCAACTGGCTTTCAGCCAGCTTGAGGTGCATTCCCCCTTCTTTATGGGCGGGTTTCGAGTCCGCCCTATAAGAACTTGTTCAAAAAAAAAAAAGTTAAAACCCCATTTTGGTTCCTTAACTATTGTACGGACCCCCGATTTGGTCCCTGAACTAAAAAAATCCCTGATTTGGTCCTTAATGTTTACCATTTTGACCCCGATTTAGTCCTTCCGTTAAAAATTGATTGACGTGTCCCATTACCTGACGGAAATAGATGACATCATGGCAAAAAAAGAATGATATGGCAAAAAAAAGAATGACATGGCAAAAAAAAAAACCTTAAAATATTTCCTTTTTTTTTTTT